AAGCAATGTGTTGACACTGAACGTGAGAATTCATAAAGCACAGTGAAAAAGAATGCCCAGATAGGCAGTAAAGGGAATGAGAGTCCAAGACAGACGAAGCATAAAGCATTCAAGTATTAGATAAGAGCACTCAAAAAGGCAGATAGCTGGCTGGTCTTGGAATTGGGGAGCAATCAAGGGTAACAGGTATGAGAAGTATAAACAATAGCTGGCCTCCAGCCCAACAGCTTCTTTCATATTTGTTATCATTCTGTTACCAGCTTTAGGAAAAACTAATTGTAAATACTATTCAGCAATAAAAAAGGAAATACTGATCCATGATACAACATGGAAAGCCCTCAAAAACACTATGGTAAATGAAAGAAGCCGGACACAAAAAGACTACATATTGCATGGGGCCACTGACAGGAAACTGTAAAGGCAGAAGGTAACTGGTGGCCTGGGAGTAGGGATGGAGATGGCAATGGAGATCAATTTTAATTTCAATTTGATTACAGTAATAACTCATTTGTAGTCCCAAAATTGAGGGTCTATGCCTCACTTTTCTCATTTGCTATTCGTGACAATTATAGTACATAACTCATCAGGGCTCTTAGAAGATCAAATGAGATCATTCAGGTTAAAAGCTTACAACAATGCTGGTACTTAGTAGGGCTCAATATGTACACACACATGTCCAGCTTAAAAACTTAAGGAGAAATGCATGTAAAATATAACATTCATGCAATAAATTATAAATATAGGAAAAAATAAATTCATACTTATTTAAAAATTCAGCAACAGCCCTGGCTGGATGGCTCAGCTGGAGCATCGTCCTGTGGACCAAAAGGTTGCAGGTTCGATCGCCAGTCAGGGCACATACCTAGGTTGCAGGTACAATCGCCAATCTGGGCAACTGATCAACATTTTCCTCTCACATGGATATTTCTCTCTCTCTCTCTCTCTCTCTCTCTCTCTCTCTCTCTCTCTCGCCTCTTTCTCTCTCTCTCTCACCTCTTTCTCTCTCTTTCTCTCTCTTTCTCTCTCTCAGATCTCTCTCCCTCCCTCTTTCTCTTCTGTCTCTCTCTCTCTCTGTCTCTGTCTCTCTCTCTCTCTTTCTCTCCCTCTCTCCCCCCACTTCTCTCTCTAAAAATATATCCTCAGGTGAGGATTAAAAAATGATTCAGCAACAAACTATACTTCAACCTAGACCTATCCCTTAATCAAAGTAAATAGTTCAAAATACATTGGGAGAACTTTTAAAATATATTCATAAATGATAAGAACAAAGGAAACATACTAAACGTATTATTTCCTTAAGAGTATAAGGAAATGTTGAGATTCTTCCTCAGTCTCGCATCTTTGAAAGTTGACATTTTGATGTGTAATTCTCTAATTACATGATTTTTCAATATTTCCATGTGTTTTCTATACATTAAAGTCCTTTATAGAGACTGGACTTTCATTTTATATTTTTACTTTAGCAATTTCTTTAATTATAGAGCAGTCTGTTGTTCATCTATAATACAATCTTGGACCAAAAAAACCCACCAAAAACAAAAACGAACAGAAGTCACTACTACTGAGGCCAAAGGCACCTACCTCATTGACATACATACTCTTCCATGTTTTCTTGTCCTTTGTAACATATTCTATGGTGTCGGAGGAATCAAAATTCTCTTCCTGGCAGGTGTCAAATAATGATAGAGATACTGCCTTCAGAACTCAGTCCTGTTCATTGACTCTCTAAATACAGGTACACGAAGTGAAAGGTTGCTAACCCACCACTCCACCAGACAAATAAATACTTGCTTAATTTTAATCTTTTGAAGTAACTACTCTGTTGAACATAACCTGTATATCTTTGGTTAAACAATATTGTCTCACCAACATCAACATTTACATTCTCTTATCTCTAAGACCATTAATAAAACGAACTTCTGTTTTCGTTATTCTCTAATTCCTTAAGTATTCCCAGAAAAACCTCCAAGCATGAGAAAGTACTGACAACTTTCCATATCCGATAGATTTTATCTTGATAACATCGAAAGCAAATTCACTCTTTAAATTGCATTATAAAAAATACATTTAGTCTTCACATTACTTTCACATGGAAATATATACTTGCTTGCATATTCAAATATAAGCTTTCTTTACCAAAAGTGTCACTCAAAGCCCTACTTACACAAATAATTTAAATGCACAAAAGCCAACACACTTTACACAATATTGCCCACATACTATTTAACTTGGGACATTTATAATAAGAATCTATGCAAGATACTGAACAAGTACAAGATTAATAAAATATTCATTGCGGCGGTACTTCAATTTTCACTATTAAAAGAACTTAATGCACTCTTGAATACACAAAAAACATCCAACTGTTTAATCTGCAAATTAAGCCAGAATATATTTTGACAAAGGGGCACATCTTGTAACCTACCAAATTCTGAAAGTAACTCATTTCTAATTTAACTGAAATTATAATTTTTACAACTTCCTGCTTTCAAACTTGTCTAAAATAATAATGATTACAGCCCTAACCGGTTTGGCTCAGTGGACAGAGCGTTGGCCTGTGGACCCAAGGGTCCCAGGTTTGATTCCGGTGAAGGGCGTGTACCTTGGCTGCAGGCACATCCCCAGTAGGGAGTGTGCAAGAGGCAGCAGATTAAAGTTTCTCTCTCCTCGATGTTTCTAGCTTTTTCTCTCTGTAAAAAAAATCAACAAAATATATTAAAAAAAATAATGATTACAGGAACTTAAATAGTTCCAAAATGTTTTAAAATACATCAGGACTGTATACTTTAACTTTTAGTAATATAATTTTTTAAATATAAACCTTTTTCCTCAAAAAAAAAAAAGGGGGGGGGAGGGAGACTTAGAAGAGTTTCTAACATGGGAAAGCTAGTAAATTTTTATGTTTGATCATTTGAATGATAAGAATTGTCTTCTTTGCATGATGTAATCACAATAGATATGATACATCATAATTACACAGTGCCTTATTTCCATCATCTGTAGCTTTTAAATTTACACTAAAAGTATATAGAATGCCTACTGATAGTAATTAGGGGGATTATATAATATGTCTACTTCATAGGGAAAAAAATCCAATCCCCACAAATAGAATATTTTCATTTATTAGCTGCTTGTACTTCCTAATCAGTAGGACGGTAGTCTTCCTAAATTAAAATTGGAAAATTATTTTAAACCAGTGATCCACAGTGATATTTTAAGAAAGGGAATTAAAATATTTTATATGAGGCAAAGTTAAAGTTGCTTTACAACTAAAAATATAAACATTTATCCACTTTTTCAACATAATTACTAGTTTAAATTTAATGTAAATAAATTCAGAAGTAAAGAAATTAACACCATCATAGCATACGCACAGGTTAAATAATGGCCCCTGAAATAAAACTACACTTAGAAATCAACTGTTACAACACTATATTTCATTAATTCTAAGATAACAACACATTTTTATCTCTGAAATCATGGTACACTGATATAGTTTCAATGAAATATGGTTTATACAATATTTTTTAAATTCATGTTTTCCTTTACCATTAACAATAAATAATCCATAATCCTTGGCTTAAGGATAAATGGACCAATCTGAACTACCTCAACCAATGTCCTTGAATAAAGGATCTAAACACATTCTGAGTATCTCAGACTGAAAATCTGCTTGTATTAACATCTTCTATTTGATCATTAAAATAGTTAGCAAGTTGTCCTGCCGGTGTGGCCCAGTGTTTGAGCGTCGACCCATGAACCAGATAGATGGTCACAGTTCGATTCCCGGTCAGGACACATGCCCGAGTTTCGGGCTCAAAACCCAATAGGGTACGTTCAGGAGGCAACAGACTGATAATTCTCTCTCATCACTGATTTTCCTATCTCTATCTCACTCCCTTCCTCTCTCTGAAATCAATAAAACATTTTTTTTAATAAAGTAGTTAGCAAGTTCAAGGAAAGCCAACCTAATGTTCAAATATCTAATTTCTCACTTGCAAAACAAGCCTCCACTGATTTGTCAATTTTATTAGTTCTTTTCAGATATCAAGATTATAAGTACGTAATTGGCTCATGACAACAATCAATGGTCTGGTAATCAAATTACCAAACCAATAATTTTAGTTCAAGCTATTAAAAAGTAGTATGGTAGTGTCTAAAATATTTTCAAGAGAGACGGCCATAGATAACCACCAACCCTTCAGGTGCAAGGGAATAAAGGTGATAGAAAGTATACTCACATTGGCAAGATTGTTTTCCCCTTAAGATACAGTAATGCTAAAGGAAAACAGACTGTTTATTACAGAGATTGTGTATGTGCATGTGTCCAGATGTAGAGAGTTAGAGATTTGTAGATCCAGTTTAAATAAAGCAGAGAGAGTTTGTGCTATGTGTATAAAATTACCAGGCAGTTTTTAAAATCTGTATTAAGGGTTGTGGAATCTCACTATCTGGAATGCTTTTGAAAGAAAGGTTAAGTCATATCTTGTTTGTGATTAAGTCAACCTCACTCGAAAGTTGAGGTAATTACAGTTTCTTCTTTTAATTGTCCAGTTAGAATACAATGTTGATAGTGCCGTCTGAGACACACTGAATGTAAGTAGATATTCATTGTTCTGATATTTGAAAAGTAAATATAAGATAGCGTTAAATGTTTGCCATATTAAATCTTATAATATTATAACCTTCTGACATGAGATACAGTCAGAAAAAAATAAATAAGAGGGACTTGAGTTGGGGGAGAAAATTATATATTCTGTGCTAAATTATGTGACATAAATTAAGATGAAGTTCTTTTATGGCAAGTGGACAAAGGGTCTTTTGAATCTTTTTTTTAAAAAGGACCTTAAACACTAATTTTAAAATAATATAAAAGTTCTGATGAATGCTGTCTATAGCAAAATAGTTGAAGGTTAATTTTTCTTTTCGTCATAGTTGGGAGAGCTATGTTCTCTAATTGTCAAATATATTTCAACTGAAGCTCTGAATCTCAACTGGCTTCAGCACAAACACTTGCGGCCTGCCTTACTGAGCAACAACTTATGTAGAAGGCGAGTCATCCTTCTATCAGAATATGGTACCTGAGAATATAAACTTCTCAGCTCATATATTCTGACAGGTTTGGGTCGCCTTTTTTGCTTTCTTCTGGGGCGTTTTTTGTTACCATTCTTCTTTGTTTCTTCAGTGCTAGGAGAATCCTGCACGGGTTGCTCAGGAGAAGAGCTGTTGACAGCACCGAGCTGCTCTTCGGCATCAGCTGATGGAACTGAGTCTGAAACCTTCTTGGTTGGTCTCTTCGCCTTCTTTACCCTTCCGACAACAGATTTTATCTTCTTAAGATGCATGCCAATAAAAGCCCTTCTGGTCTGGTATTTGTGACGCAAAAAACCAGAGACTTCTGAAATATATTTCTTAACTATGTCATTTAGTGCGGAAGGAATCCAAGCTGACTGTTTTTCTGATCCGATTATTTCTTGAAGAATAACTTGTTTGTCCACCTTTTTTAGTAAGTCTGGCTTATTAGTAGTTGTCGCCTTCCTTCTCTGAACTTTCTTTTTATTTTTTGAGTACTTCTTTCTCGCTGATTTTTGTGGGGTTTTGGCAGCATCACCGTTGAAGAGAGTTAACAGGAAATTCTTCTCTTTCAGAAATTCACCAGAGTTCAAGATCTCTGATTTTGCCAGAAGTACGGAAGACCCATTGTCCCCCTGGTCAGATGTTAATTCGTGTCTTACTGACACTGTAATGAAAGGTGAAGCAGGAGAGCTTTGTACATGAGCATCGTCCTCTCCTGCACTGGAGATCAGGTCGCTGAACTGAATTTGAATCCAGTCATCATTCTTGTCAGGCTCTGGTATTTTTGTATTCAGAGGAGGATCAATTACAGTTTGTTTATCCAGTGGATCATAAGAATCAAGTTTGTATTTGTACTGGATTTTAATGTCCTGCTTGTTTTTATCATTTGGCTGGCTAATTTCAGAGACGTTGAAGGATTCCCCTTCATTCAGCTTAAGATTTGAAGAACCATGGAGTAAGGCATTGGGGTTCAAAGGCTTCAAAATGTTAGCATATGATTCAAGAAATTCAAGTCTTCCGATTCGGATTTTCTTTTTTGGTCTCCTGTTGTTGACAGGTAAGCGTTTCAGGGATGGCGAGTATGTCTCATGTTCACTTACTGTTTTGGTCACGACGTAACTCATGACACTGGTTTGACCTCCACTGCTGACTTTCACGGTCTGGTATCTTGAAGTCACTCGCCAGGTTTGTTCATAAGACATCTTTCCTATAGGGTCATCTAAGGCCCCTGAAAAGTCATCAACATTATAATCACACTCTAACAGAATTTCAATGAATGCAGTGTCATTTAGGTCCGATGAGACAAAATTCCGTTCTCCATTAGAGTATGTTGTTCTCACATTCAGGGTCTCAGAGTCATCATCAAAGTAACAGTGGAAGCGGCCTTCCTTAAATTCCCTCACAAGGGTGTTAACTTTTACGTCATCTTTTATCATTATTTGAGACCATGTTTTCCCTATAAATGAAGGAGGGACATGAGGCAAGGCTTCAAGAACTGGTTCATCAGACCTATCTTCCAAAACCAACTTTGCCTTTTTTGATCTCCTTCCAGAACCACCCCTAGAACCAGAGCTTGAAGGGGAATTACGCTTCATTTCTTTCAGGCTGAAAGACATCTTCTTCACACCTTTTTGAGTCCGGTCATGGTCAGACTGAGAAGAGGGATCACCCTGAAGGCTCACCCCAGAAACACACTCAGATTTAGAGTTCTTATTTTTTTGATCTGTACGTTTTAACTTTAACTTCAACTTCAAAGTGTTTTCTCCATTAGCCATTTCAATCTCTGCTGTCTCGGGAGGGGTATTAGTATCCTTTGCAGAAGAACCGCGTCTGCCGCGCCTACCTCGTGGGCCTTTCTGATTTTTCGGAGGGTTGTCTGCTTTGCCAGCTTTCTTCTGTTGACGAGTCTTTGGTGGAGAAGTCTCTTCCCGATTACATCTTCTTTTAGGACTGGTAGATTTACCTCTCTTGCCTCTTGGGGCACTTTTTCTTGCCCTTTTTTTACCAGGCCCTGGTGATTGGCGAGTCTTGGACTGGTGAGAGGCGTCTTTTTGAACGTTTATTTCAGAACCAAAAGGCTCACAGGGGGACTCTTCCAGAATAATATAGTCTTTCTTCTTGTTTACTACTTTGAAAGCCTTTCTGGATTGGTTTGACTCTGACTGAGGAGAGGATTCACAAGCATAACTTAGATCTGGAACACAACAGTCATAGCATGCACCTTCTAGTTCAAAACTTTTTGCATTTATACCGGCAATTCCTTCCACAGTCGCTTGAGATGAGTCGATGACTGGCTGACACGAGGCACTGGATTCAGCAATCACTTCACAGTCACTATCCCCGGACACCAGCTTCACTAGCAGCATCTTCTGAGGAGCTGCTTCTTTGTCTGACACCTGAAAATCATTAACTATTATTTGAATAGGGACATCAGAATCAGACATTGGTTCAGAATCACTGGTCTTTTCTTCCATGCCAAGATGCACGGCCTTCCGACGGTTCATTTCTTTGCAAACCATTTGAGGTTGGTCAACTGATAACTGCAGAATACCAGAACCACAATTTATTCCAGAAACACTCGGTTCACAGTGCTGATTTTCTAAGTCATTATGGTCCCTTTCCAAATTTATTTCTTTGACAGCTACAGGACACTGACCAACCACTAACTGAACAGGAGCATCAGAATCACACCTGATTTGAAAACCATCTACTTTATAGTTATCTCCCAGGTAAATATGGCCTTCCTTCCAAAGGCTGACTTTACCAGCATTTTCGAGCTGGTCAGACGAAAGAGGATCGTCACAAGTAAAAGTTATTTCAGAATCACAAGGATCAATGCCCTTATATTCCAAATTAGCATGTTCCTCTTCCAAAATGTGTGGTTGCTCAACTGCTGGTTGAAGATGGACATTTGAAAAATAAATCATGGCAGAGTCCTTGGGTTCATAGCCCTTGTCATGCAGATAAACATGTCCCTCCCTCAGAAGATTTATGTCTGTAGTAGCCTCTTGAATTTCATTAGCCACAGAATGAACATGTTGATTAGAGTCAAAATTTATTTTAGGATCACTACGTTTGACCATCTTACCTTCCATGTCTACAGGCTTCTTCCAGCGGTTAATCTCCTTAATAATTTCCTCAGTTTGGCCAGCCACTGACTGAAAACGAACATTAGAGTCATACCTAATTGCAAAACCGTCCGGTTTATAGGTTGTCTCTTCCACATCTTCATCCTTCCAAAGGCTTATTTCTTTGACGGTTTCTCTAACCTGCTCAGCCACTGACTGAAGAGGGTCATCAGAGTCAAAACTTATTTCAGAACCACAGGATTTATGCTGTTTCTCTTCTAGCTCAATGTGCCCCTTCTCCAAAGCAGTTATTTGAGATTGTTCAACTGCTAACCGAGCCAAGTACTCAGAATCCAAGCTCATGTCAGAACCACCATATTGGCTGTTATTATCGTCCATGTCTACATCACCTTCATTCTCAAGGTTTATTTGTTCAAAAGCGGCTTCAAGTTGATCAGGCACAGATTGAGGAGAAACATCAGAATCCTGTATTAATTGAGTCTCATTAGGTTTATCGACTTGGTTTTCTGGGTCAATAGCTTTTTGTTGCCACGGGTTTGTTTTTTGCATCACGTCCTGGTATTGTGCAGTTAATGGCTGAAGAGGGTCATTAGACTCAAAATTTACTTTATGATAGCTAGATTCGCTGCTTGTGTTCTCCGAATCAGCGTGTTTCTTCTTCAAAAAGGTTAGCTGAGATTTCTCAATGACTGATGGACGAGGGGGACCAATATCTAAATTTATATCAAAACCTCTAGATTTAGCACTTTCAACTTCTGGGTCAACATGGTCCTCCCTCAAAACAGCAGGCTGAGGTTTTTCAGTCATCAAATGGGGAAAGACATTTATTTCAGAGCCAGTATAATTATCACTCTTGTTTTCTAAAACATATTCGTCTTTCTGAACATTTCTTTCTTGAATAGCTATTTGAGGTTCAGTCACTGAATAATGAGGGACATCAGGATCGAAATTTTTTTTAGAACCGCTAAATTCAGCATGCTTTTTTTTTTGAAGCCGCATTTCTTTAAGAACTACGTCAGTTCTTTGAATAACTGACTGTTGGGGAATACTGAAATCCGATCTCGTTTCAGAAACACTTACTTCCTTTCCCTTATCTTTTAAGTTTTTTTGTTCTTCCTTCTGACGGTTTACTTCTGTCACAGCTCTGTCAGGTTGATTGGTCACTGAATGAGAAGTGGAAGATTCCAAACTGTTTTCAGCAACATCAGGTTCATTGCCTTTGTTTTCTAGCTGTACGTGCTCTTCATTCTGGAGGTTGACTTCTTCGGTGGGATTTTCAGAGTGTCCAATTGCTGAAGGAGTATTCAGACTTAATCCAGAAACGCTAGGTTCAATATGCATCGGTGGTGGTTCTTGAAGCTTTCGTCTTTTAATGAGAACTCCAAAAGAATTTGGCACTGAAAGAGGAGAGACATAAAAATCTGAACTTATTTGAGAACCACTGGGCTCATCATTCTTCCTTCGTAGGTGTGCACGGTCTTCTTTCTGAATTACTACTTTGTTCACACCTACGTCGGGTTGATGAGTCTCGGAAGGAAGAGGTATATTGGGATCAAAAGTCATTTCAGAACCACAAAATGAATTATTCTTGTTTTTTTTTGCAGCAGGTTCTTCCTCGGCTACTTGAGACTGGTCGGCTACTTGAGATTGGTCAATCCCTGGGTAAAGAGGAATATCAGAAATAAAAGTTATTTCAGAGCTATTTGACCCACAGCTCTCATCTTCCATGTTACTGTCCTTTTTTTTTACCTCAGAACGCTCAGTAACTGACAGAGGAGGAGGATCAGAATCAAAGGTCAACTCAGAGCTGGAGCACCCGTAGCTCTTCACTTCCATGTCAACGCTTAACTCTTTCGTGTTTATGTTGCCCAGAGCTCCGGGAGGTTGTTCATTGGCTGGCTGTTGAAGAGAGGCATGAGGATCCACCCTTGGTTCAGGAGCGCTAGCGTCAGCACCCTGATTCTGCGGGTCAACAGCTGCGTCTTGAGGATCTGCTTCTTGAACTGCTACTTGAGGCTGGGCAGCCACGAACTGGGCATCAGGGTGGATATTCATTTCAGGACGACGATAGTCAGAGTCCATATCCACATTGTCGTTGTTCTCTCTCGGAAGGTTTATTTCTTCAGCAGCCCTTGGAGGTTCATCAGTCACTGCCTCAAGAGAGGCGCCATAGTCAAGGTGTGCTTGAGCACCACTGGGTTGGTCATCATCTTCCAGGCTGGCAGGGCTCTCCTTCAGGTTGCTTTCTTTGGCAGCCAGTTGGGGATGGACAATTACTGACTGAAGAGAAGTATCACAGCCACTTTCAGAGCCACTCGACCCATAGTTCATGTCAACCAGGCCAGTGTAAACCTCCTCCTGAGGCTCTGGTTCAGAGGCAGCCACTGGGAGTTGCTCAGTCCCTGGCTCAAGTGGTAAGTCAGAACTGGCGCTTATTTCAGAGCTACCGGAGTCCATGGGTGCCTCCTGAGGAAGGCCTACTTCTTCTGCAGGCTGCTGTGCGTTGTCATCGGTTGGCTGAAGGGAGGCATCACCATCAAAGTTCACCTCAGAATCACTAGAATCATAGCTTTCGTCAACCAGGCGGATGGGCACCGCCTTCGGAGCACTCATGCCTCTCACAATGACTTGAATTCGGTTGGTAGCCAGCTGCTGCGGAGGGGCATCGTGAGCAGAACTTACTTCAGAAACAGAAGGCTCACTACTGGGAGGCTGCACAGCCTCACGTGCTCCCTCTGAAACGATTGTTTCTGTGGCAGTCACTTTCGGTTGGCCAGCCAGGGAGAGAAGAGAGGGACTGCGATCCACACTCACTTGGGGACCTCTTGGTTCAGGGGTCTTATCTTCTTGGGCAGTTGGCTCCTCGCAGCAAAGATCTTGGACAGCCGCTGCAGGCTGGGCAAACACTGACTGAGAGCCCCATGCCAACGCCATGGAGGTGATCACTGAGTGTTTCTTTTTGAATGCTAGCTTGGGGGCTAGCTTGGGGGCTGGCTTGGGGGCTGGCTTCTTGAAGACCGAGTGCTTTTTCTCTTGGGCACGATCCATAATAGGAAGGAATTTGTCACGGCGCTTTGGGATGGCGCCTTCAATGAGTCCTCTTTTATAAATCTCATCATCTATATTCTGACTGGTCGTGGGGTTAACTGCCAGTGTGGTAACAGGCGCAACATTTGAGGAACCCTCAGGACCCACAGATGCATGAGACTGAATGCCAGCGGAAGAAGTTTCACCCCGAGATTCTACATCTTCCTGTGTAACCGGTTTATCTGGATTTATATTTACAGGTTTTCTGTTTGACTCGTTAGGTGTCAGATTGGACACTGAAGCGTGACTGGTTGAGGGCATAGGCTCGCTAGGGCCCTCGTCTTCCTGTACAAGGTCAACTACGTTTAGGGCACGTGTGTTAACCGAAACTGAACTGGCTGCTGCTGCCACTGCCAACCTAGCAGCACTAGTTATAACTGGTCGAGCATTAGCACTTTCGCGCAAAAGACTAGCAGGAGCAGCAGAAATCACTGAGGGACCTCCGGTATTTGTAACTTGACCAACACCTACTGGACTAAATTCTCTCCGGCCACTCCTAACTTTATAAACAAATTTCAAGGGCTGCTGCTGGCCCCTCTCAAATTTCTGAATAACTGATGCCCGCATCGGAATGCCCTGTCTACCTTCCTGTGACACACTAGGCCCAGGACGCGACCCTTCAGTAGGCTCAGGATTCTGGGTCGCGGCTCCAGGAGCCTCGTCAGCCATTCCTTCAGACGCGGAATCATCCATGAGAATCACTTCAGCAGATGCTTCGTCATCCCCAGCAGGGGCTGCGATATTTCCAGAAGGTCCGGCATTATTCTCGTTTGGTCCTGATCTGAAAGGGAAGGGGGGCAACCATAAAAATAAAAAAAATTTAATATCTTTTTTTAAAATGTTTCAATAAGGGCACAAGGTTATTTTCTTTTTATCCTGGGCCAGATTCTCCGAGGACAAAGAATGGAGCCCACCACACCAGGCTTTACAAGGCATTTCCGTAAGGTAATCAGTGCAGCAGGAAGTCGCTCCTGCCAACTGCCACATAATAAACACAAATGGCTCCTAAACACATGAAAAATGTAAAGGCAGACATCGCTTTCCAGTTACCAGAGCAGCAAAGAGCATGAAGTTTAACACAAGTTACCTAACCTTCAGGCTTTTGCCCCCCTCCGCCCTCCCCTTCAAAAAAGGAAATAATGCTATTTCCCTCGTTAGATTGTTTTGAAAAGTAAACTAGTTGTTACATGTAAAGGTTATTTTTTTAAATTCTGGAAAAGAGTAATCACTCACAGGTATTAACTATTATTATTTTAACATATTGTTTGGGCAAAAGTGCAAAGTCAGGCACTTTAATATATTATTGGCAGGAATATAGATGAGTTTATATGAAGAAAATTTTCTAATGCTTATTAAAATTTTTAAATGCCAAGAAGAGTCTAAGGAGATATAACAAGTTAATGTAATCTGATTATCCTGGTGGGATCCTGAACAACAACAACAAAAAAGACATTAGGTGAAAACTAGGGAAACCTGAATAATCTATAGAATTCAGTTAATGTATTACATTGGTTCATTAATATAACAAATGTACCACACCAATGTAAGATGTTATTAATAGGGAAACTGAATAAGGGGGGTATATAAAAACTCTCTGCACTATCTTAATTTTTCTATAGATCTAGAACTACCTAAAAATATAGTCTATTGAGAATAATAAAAATGTTAAATATATTAACTCCTAAAAAAATTCCTTTATTACATATTTTTAAATTTGAGAGATGCCACAATTGCCTACGAGAATATGCATACAAGCATTGGCCACATGTAAACTTTTTTAATGTCATAGATATTCCTACTGTTTTTCTTGCCCATAAAAATATCACAGTTAATATCAAGATAGTGTTTTGGTGGTGTAAAATAAAAATGTTAACTCTGGCATCAAACATAGTATCATGATGAACCAAAAATTGCCATAGGTTTTCATACTTCTGAACTCTAATCAGTAAAACTGCAGTACAATAACCACTTTACCCTAGTTTTTAAGAACACTAGTGGAGTATCTCCATTTGTCTTAAACACTATCACAACATTCTCATTATAAAATTAATTTCGTATCATTTGGCTAAGAAAGGAAGAAAAAGACAAGCAGAATCATAAAATCCAACAAGATGGCAAAATCACAAAAAGGTTAGGAATCATCATTTACATGCTTTGATTTGTGTCAACATTTGTGTGTGTGTTTAAAGTTAATAACTAAATCACCATCTGTATTTATACTCATTTAAAACTAATTTTGCAACAAAAAAGCACTCCAAAAATCTAATACTAAATGTTAAAAACCAGTCTTTTCTATAACTCTTTTGCTTAAAAGCAAAAAAATTTTAAACTATTTATAAATACAATAAAACGTATCAAAATCAATGAAATGTTAAAGTGGAAATTTCACACTTTAAACCTTCCATTAAAAAAAAAAAAGAATTAGTAAACACAAATTAACTAAATGAATACCTAATTCAAGAAGGTAGAAAAAATAACTAAATTCCTCCATCAAGAGAGTTGAAGAACTAAATTAAGGGAAAGAAAAACCAAAAAGGAAGGAAGGAAGGAAGGAAGGAAGGAAGGAAGGAAGGAAGGAAGGAAGGAAGGAAGGAAGGAAGGAAGGAAGGAAGGAAGGGAGGGGAGGGTGGAAAAGCTGATTTTTAAGAAGGCTAAACTATCCAGGCAAGAAAGAAATTTTTTTAAGTAGAACTTAGAATATATATATGTTTCCTAAGTTATACTTAGAAAAATATATAAAACATATATATTAAATATAATTAATAAATGTGGTGTTGGCATCTGATTAACAAACATGTGTATATGTATATTGGTATTCAAAATCAAATACAGGCTCCACGGCAGGTGGAATGGAAGACCCCTCCCACCCCGACGCCTTGGGCAGCCAGAGGCATTGTACTCCTTCGCCGCCTGTTCTGTCTGCAGGACCCACACATCAATGCCTCATTTCCTAAGGTACTCCAGGGTTATGGGGGCATCCTCAAAGCCCCACTCATCCCTCAGCCAATCACAAGGGTTTGCACACCCTTCGGAACTCTGCCCTCCTCATCTGCAGGCTGGACACTGGGAGAATGCTCAGTTCCTGCGCCTCTCCATTCCCAATCCCACCATCCCCCTGGCCACACTTGTGGTCCTTATAGATTTTAGTAGATCTTTGGCCTTCCATTTGACCCAAGAAAAAGAAGGGATTTCAGGGGAAGTCATAGGGAACTTCACTGAAATCCAAAGCCCCCTCTCCAGGGAGTTGCAATCCTAAATGACTCCATGCTATTTCTCCTCTGTTACTAATCTTTTTTTTTTATTATTTATTGATTAAGATATTACATATGTGTCCTTATGCCCCTACTAACCCCCTAATATCCCCCATCGATGCCCTCACCCCCTTGTTGTGTCCATTGGTTAGGCTTATATGCGTGCATATAAGTCCTTCGGTTGATCTCTCCCCCTTACCCCCACCCTCCCTCTGAGGTTTAACTGTCTGATCACTGCTTCTCTGTCTCTGGAAGCCGTTTTTGCTGCCGCCTTTTTCCCCGTGCCTAATCATGACATAATTATAAAATGTCTTCATGATATATAATTATTTAGTGGCCTCAAACTTTTATTTGGGGAGTGTGTGTGTGGGGGGGAAGCATTATATAGTCCATATCTCCTCTGGTGAAATGAGCAGAGGGGAGTTACTAGGTGCCATTTCACATTAGGTTCCCCGATTCAAAGATGCACATTAAGAAGGACTGAAATGCTAGCGCGAACGTCCACTGTAACCTGTAATAACAACAACCGTGTTCTGACCGTATTCCGCTCCGTGGCTTTACCTGCTTTCTTGGTAATGATAGGGGTGGTGCAGCAGCACGTCCTGCAGGAACCGCTCCATCAGGCTGCTGCTGGGGACTTCGGCGTCGCGCTCTCCGGCTCCTGCTCCTCCTGATGCTTCTGGACCTCCAGGTGGTCCTCCGGGTCCTCCTTGTCCTCCGGCTCCTTGTCCTCCTGCTCCTCCGGCTCCTCCTGCTCCTCCTGCTCCTCCGGCTGCTCCGGCTCCTCCGGCTGCTCCGGCTGCTCCTGCTCCTCCTGAACCACCACCACTACCACCACCACTACCACCACCCATCCATTCTCTGTTCTGTGTGGTCATAAATCGGTGTTCGGGACTGTTCACATGCTGCAAAGAAGAAAGAAACTGAGTCTTTTTAAATGGACATATTCAGCAGTGAGAGGGTCACAGAATGGGTTCATTGACAACACACCGAAATGCCTTCTGCAAAGCAACTCTAAAACATGCATCTAAAACCCATCAGATGGCCTTTCTCTTAGCTGTAATAATTACATCTCTCTAAAGCTCTCCTAAGACAATCATCTCAAATGCGGGTGATTTGTGCAAAAGAGAAAAAAAAGATGCTTAATCACAGCAGACCAAAAACCTGAAAATCTCCTAAAATCCTTAAATTATAATAGAGCTCTCTGTAATAACACAAATAACAACATAGCACACTGTTATACGTTAAGGAAAAATTTAAGAGGGTGCAAAATGCTTCATGTTTCCATGTTCTCCTCCCTCCACCCCCACCCCCGCCCCATCATACGGATATCCAATTGACCCAGTCTCATTTATGGGAGAAAAGGTTGCATTCCTGCTCTTTAGTGCCACCTCTGTCACAAATCAATTAGCCACAGGTGTCTTTCTGGAGTTTCTGGGTCTGCTCCCGCTCTTTCGATCATGGCCCATTGTCTTAATGACAATAGCTTAGAACATTTTGATATCTGATGTTGTTCATCTTTAAAATTAGCATTCTGCAGATGCTTACCCTTTTACATGTCCATACATAGTCTTAGAATTTTCATTTTAAATTTTTGCTAGGCGTTTTACTGGTATGTCACTGAATCAATATATCAGTTTGATAGAACTGACATGCTTACAGTATTTATTTTTTCAACCCATGAATCTGGTATAATACACCAATTATGTAATTTTTCTTAAATTTCCCTCAAGGTTAATCATTTGCTTTATAAAGATCACACACATATTTTGTTATATTCCCTGAGAATTGTGTTATTTGAGGCTGTTGTAAGCATCTTTTGTTTTTGGTGTTTTTTTTTAATTGATTTTCAGAGAGGAAAGAAGAGGGGGAGAGACAGAGAGAAAGACATCTTTGGGACAGTGAAACATCAATCAGCTGCCTCTTGCATGCTCTGTACCAGGAATCAAACCGTCAACTTTTTTGTGCTCGGGATGATGCCCAACCCATTGAGCCATACGAGCCAGGGTATAAATATCATTATTAAATCTCATTTTCTGCGTGCTGTTTGCATATAAAAGTACAATATCTTTTTATGTCAACCCAACAAGCTTTTTTTTTTAACTCACTTATCAATACTAATAGTTTATCTAGATAACTTTTGGATTTTCTATTCCACAATCACATTGTGTGCAAATAAGTATAGTTTTATTGATTCTTATCTAATCTTTATCATTGTAATTCTTTTTCTCTTCTTATTTATCTCACTAGAACCTCTGATAAAATATTGCATATAGTTTTACTCAAGCACCAAATCTATTTTTTCTCAATATAGTTGAATCTAGTTTTTGCTTTTATTTTTAAATCTATTTTTATTATTCTTGCTAATATAATGTCCCTATTTAGTTCCTTTCTTGCCATCTTGTGAACTATTTTTATTATTCCAATTTGTCCCCATTAACTTATTACAGATTTCTTTTTCTAGTCCATTAATGGTAACAGTATATAACAAGCAACCTAACTTATCAAAATCTAAAATTATTTGTTACTTTTATTCTCTTCTTGAGCAATGCAAGGTCCAATATACTCAATTTACTTTCTTTCCAATTTATATGCCATTTCTGTTAATCCCATATTAATTATTTAAATGCCTACATATTTACATTTCCACTGCTCTTTATTTCTTTCCATATCTCTGAGTTTCCAACTGGAATTCTTTTCTTACACCTGAAGAAATTGCTTTTGCTATTTCTTTTAGTAAGGGTCTGCTAGACATAGTTCCTTAATTTTTGTCTTTGTAAAATAAAATGTTGCTATTGCACCTCCTTTTACATAATATATTTATTGAGTAGAATTCTAAGGTAGTGTTATTGTCTTCCTTTTGGCTTCCAATGTTTTTGTTTAATATTCAGCCACATCTGCCTTATTTCTTATTTATTCATTGCCTTATAAGTTCTCTAAAGCCTTGAAATTCGAGCTTTTCTAGTTAGGACAAATTATTTTTGCTGTCATTAACACAGTCTTTTCAAATGTCAGTTTATTGCAAGGATATCTAAATGTCTAAAATTTATTTTAAACTTTAAGCAAAAAATATTATACAAAAGCTTACTGCATAAAACGTGTTATTAAAAATTTAATATATGTTATCATTATCAAAGGTTCAACGGATAATCTCCCAGTCAAGTGATGATATAACTTATGAGAGAAATATTAAAAAGAGCTTGAGATTTATTATCTGCCTCTTCATGTTTATAATCAGCATTAAAGTGTTTCTTTTTTAAAAGGTGAAGGCGTCGAAATCACAATAATAAACACTTTTCCTTAATGTAAGTTTAAGTGATCACTATTAGATAATTAAACAAAGCAAATGCATGCCACAAAACAGATTTTTTCCCACACATTATAAACCTGTGTTCGACATATAAGACGGAAGTTTAGCACTAGCAGAACCAGAACGTGATTATACTACAACTTCATCGGTGACACGCTTCCCTTATGAACATAAATGCAAAATTCCTCAACGGAATACCAGCAAACCAAACCCAGCAACACATAAAGAGGATTATACACCGTGAGCAAGTGTAATTTTTCCCAGGAATGCAAAATTGGTTTAAAATCTGAAACTCAATCAATTGCAATTGCTATCACAGACCGAATTCTGTTTCCCGCCAAATTTATCCGTTGAAGTTCTAAACGATTCTATTTGGAGACAGGGCTCTTAGGAGCTAATTAAATAGCATCATCTAGAAACATTAACTCAGAGTGAATCAAAGACATAGATGCAAAAGCTAAAACTTTAAACACTCTTAAAAGGAATACACAGGCATAAATCTTCATGGCCTTGGATTAGGCAATCCTTGCGAGACCCGTAGCACAAGCAACAAAAGGGGGAAAAAATTCAATTCAACTATTGTAAAATTTAATACTTTTGTGCATCAAAGCAAAAAAAACTAAAAGTCCTTACCTTACTTTTAAATTGTCTTGCGGAATCTAATTCTCTGAATCCTTCACCCGACACTCAACCCACCTCAGGCTCTCCCGCTACTGCAGCCTCAGTGACCACGTGGCTTTTGGTTAGCAAGCCAACCACCCGTCTGTCTCTGTCCTCGCTCTCCGCTCTCTCTGCCTGGAAATTCTTCCCCCGGAGATAAGCAAGCCTGGCCCCTACACGTCATTCAAATCCCAGCTGACGTCACTTCCTGTCTCATGTTCTACTCCCTCCTCCCTTATTTTATTTCCCTCTTAACATTTATCCCAATCTGACATGTGTATTACCTTTATGTAACTGTTTTTCTGTTTGTACCATAGGTTTCATAAATAAAGGGACCTGGTTTTGTGCGTGGTCATTTCCCTAGAACCTTAAACAGTGTCCGTCAACTAGTAGGCTGTTATTATGATCTGTTTAATGAATGAGTTTTTAAAAATGACTAGAATGTGAAAGAAGGGGTAGTCACTAGTAAGTCCTTTGAGGTGTAATAACTACATTAACAGGGTCCTCTCACCTCATCCAGATCGGTATAGCGCACGAGGCAATAGCTGCAATATCCGTATCTGTTCGGCATGTTGAATTACCAAAGTCAAAAGGTACTGTCGCTGAATATTCAAGGACTGGGAGGAAATGGCAAAAATCCACAATTCCTTACTATTACAAGGAAAATAGCCGTGATTAATATCAGAGAACAGAATTTCAATCTTGAGTCCTAACCACTCTTATTTCTCATAATTATGAAAATAGATAAGGCTTCTTCCCATGAGCTACGGTACCAATCAGTGAACTTAGAGCGAAGATGACAGCATTCACTCTAAGTGACTGATACAGTACTGAAGAACATCGTACTCAATGTTAAAGACCAATTATTATTTCTAAGTTGCGACTGTCGTATATTTTCTATACACTAATGAGGCTCATGAGTGTTCCCGTTATGTTTCTCTAGAAAGTCCCAGATTACTTAAATTGTCAGTGTAATATGTAGCGTCTAATTCTCTGTCATGAGAGGAAAGATCGCACTTGGATTTTCTGCAGAGTCCAGAAAGAGGCAGATTTGGAAACAATTTACCCAACAAAGTTGCTGAAAATAAAAACAACAACAAATTTAACCTCTAAATGCAAGACATTTCTCTTTGACAAGTACATAAACCGAATAAATGAGGAATATTTTTCCAATCGGTGTAAGGAGATTTCTCCACAAACAGTTTCCAAGTTTCTACCCCTTTAAAAAACCATTATCCTTTAACATTACATACTGCAGTGATTTCTAAATGAGAATAAATATCAAAATCATCCTCCAACATTCTGATTTAGCAGAATTGAGACAGTCTAGAGTTTAGAATTTTTTAAATTCCCAGGTAATTTTTATACACAGCCAATTCATTCACTGACGCAAAGTATATATAGCTTATGATTATATGAATAACAAATTCAATACAATTTTTGCTGTTTTCTTAAAGTCAAAATAGAACTGTAAAACAATTTTACCACATTTTAAATTCAAATTATTTCAAACATTGTAGATTGGGAAATATAGAACAGAATGATCTTATAACATTATGAATATTTCTGACAAGGATGGCTCTGCAACAGAAAAGGTTGACTCATTAAAATCAGCATTTAAAAAATTATTTCAAGCCTTAAAACCAGTAAAATGAGAACAGAAAATAGCTTCATTAAGTAAAATGCCGTAACATTCACTTACCTATTATTTTTTATTATGAGAAACTGATTTTTCTACTTGCCACGCTTATGTGGAAAGCGAATCAGTTAAACCAGCCTCTGAAATAAAGAATATATAAGAAATGACTTAACTTGTAATTTAGGCTTATTTCCATTAATTTACTTCACTTGTAATCTGAAGCAACAAAGTGAATCTAGCTTTAAGTTGCATTTATAGATATGAAAATTTTCAGTTAGAGCGAACCCTAGAGCTTAAACCTAAACTTTGAAAATCATTATATTAAAAAGCTTTTTCGTGCTTTCTTTGAAATACAAGGAAAACATTCATTGAATAAAAGGCAAACACACACACACAATCAAAATACTTAAAATATTTTTAAAATATTGAACCTTTATGTCCTTCAACTCCCATTGCATTATTACCTGCCATTTCCGTCATCTCCAGTGTCCTATACAGTACTTGCTACAATGACAATGCGCTACAATGAATCAGAAGCACCTGTTGGCATTTATTTTTAAACTCACATGCTAAGACTCACCTGAAAAACTTACTGAATCAAAATCTGCTGGAGACAAGCCCATGCATACTCCACATATTTTTAAAAACACATTTTTATTGATTTCAGAAAGGAAGGAAGGAGAGATAGAAACATTAATGATGGGAGGGAATCACTGATCGGCTGCCTCCTGCACTCCCCACACGGGGGATCAAGTCCGCAGCCTGGCCAAGTGCCCTGACGGGGAGAATTGAACCGTTAAGTCCTGGTTCATAGGTGACGCTCAGCCACATTGGCCCAGGCAATTCCACATATTAAAAATGCTCCCGGGTGACTGATATAGGCTGAACCAATAACATGTCAATCCTTTATGTACTAATAAAATTCTTACTTAAAAAGATCATTTCTTTGGGGTCTGGGATTATATTACATGGCAAGACTAAATAGGTCTTTTTATACAATCTCTGAATTCTACTGGCACTTTTTTTTTTTTTTTTTTTTTTTAAGAAGTAGCAAGTCATTTACCTTCAGCAGAAAAGGGCAGGTATTTCATCAGCTGTATTAGTTCCAGCAAACATCTGCAAATTAAAATAATTTTTTTGAAAAAGATAAGCTCCACAAGTGTCTAACATTTGCCAAACGAACGCCTCCAAATTATATTTGTTTGAAAAGGGACACAATTACGTTTCCAAAAATAAGAAGAGAAAAAAAAAAATTAACTCCTGAGCACAAAGCGCCCTACAGAGTAACGGGGATGGACCACATAATCCCCATCCAATATATCAAATCTCTGGGATTTGAGAACAGCAGCAGTAAGAGAATGTAAGGCAAAACCGTGCATCTAAGGCTAAGAACAAAGATACCATCAAACTCAAAATAAGCTCCGTAAGAAACTTTTGAAAGAAATATTTACGTGAAATTAAGTTTAGGTGCTGAACTCGCCACCCCACTCGTCATTCCTGTGCTCGTTTTAATGAAAGTTACTGTCAATTCTTCACCATCGATCTATAGCTATTGACAACTCGGCCAAATTATTCTTCCCCCCACCCCCCACCCCATACTGTTGTAGGCAAAGTGTTTACTCTTATCCAGGATTACTGGTGAACACAAAATGCCCATGCGCTGTATATTCAAAGACTACATACATGTTCAGCACCTATCCTGTATAAGATTTCATGGTAGAAGCTTTAAGGGATAGAGAGAAATATAAGACAAGCTTTCTTGCCCTTAAGAAGTTTAAAATGGAATTGGGAAATTAACGCAAAAAATACCAGGTGGGATCTGAGAAAAGCATTAAGCACAAATAATAACTGCTAATTGGTTTTAACAGGAGGGGCCAGGATGCATAGTAGATATGAGTGGGGGGTTTTTTTGTTTTTGTTTTTGTTTTTTAACTGGAAATTGGAAAATGGGTAGAATTTGCTTACACAAAGGTCAGAAAAAGATATTCCAAGTAACAAAAAAGCAAAAAAGCACAAGGTATATTTGGAGATACTGAGCTGACAGGTTCAGATAGTGCTAAGGTTTCATTTAAGAACTTAAGGGGCAATAAAGCAAGAAAAATAAATTGAGTTTTGACATGATAAGGTTTCAAAGCGGAGTGAGAATCTAGACTATATGTTTAGGCAGTATGGAAATATTTTGGAAAGCAGAATATATATATACTCAAAGAATGCTTTAAAAAAATTCTGGAACAATGGTTCTTTCCGACTCAAAGGAGTTTTTCCAGGGTAATGAATATAATTGTTAAACTATTAAGCACCATTTCCTAGAATACTGGATAAATAAATTTATATCCAAAATATTCAAGTTCAAAAGAACACTGTCCCTTAGAGCAAAAAAATTAGTCTCATTATGTTTGCAAATTAGGAAAACACAATTTTTTTTCTTTAAAAATGACTTTTGTTCATTTTTATTATGAAAGTAAAATGTACTTATTATAGACAATTATATAGCTAAAGAAATGAGCATAAAAGTCAACCATTAACATTTATCATATATTCTTCTTTGTTCTAAACACGATTTTATAAAAACTGAATGATATTATCTGGAGTAATCTATAGCCTCCTCTATCACTTAACCATAAGTGATAGACATCTCTATATGTTCCATAATTCCAAAACAGAATGTTTAATGATTGCATAATATTTCTTTCATCTTATTAGTGTAAAAATAAAGCCCTCTTAATTGCTAGAACCCAGTAATTGGTAAACTCAATAAGATGATTTTTTTCAAAAATCATCAATATCAATCAGTCAAAAAGATGATTTTTAAAACACATATATATATCATCTTACTATTTTATCTAGCTTAAAATATAGAAATGTATTTATGTTTTATTTAAGGTCAATTAGGCTTTTCTGTTTCACTGAGGGCTTTTTTGCGCATAGGAGAGCGAGAGTTCAGTCTTTTTTTTTTTTTTCATTCTTTCAAAAACCTCTTCATAATTTACACTCAACAAGTTTCCATTCTGCTTCTCTAAAGCAGAACAAAATCTTAAAGACATATTCAAAACTGAGAGCACCATTATGATTGTTTGGGAATTTGTGCAACCTTTTACAGTCATCATGCCCCATTAAGAATATCTGCAAAAGCGTTTTCTTATAGTCCAAAGCATTTAGCTTATTTTTCATAAATATAACAATGCTTACACTCTCGTTTCACTGATTTATGTCATATTTAAGACTGCATAGAGCAACATGGGGCGATGAACAGAGACTCTGGACTGTCTGAAAGGATTTCAGTGCAACTGTCTCAAAACTGAAATGAAATTGCTTTTTTTTTTTTAGATTATTTCTTGCACACCTGTTTTGTTGAAATGAGTCCAGACCTATAGTATGCGTGTTTCTCGCGCTGACTTCAGTGTTGAAATATAAGCTAACAAAATTCAGAATCCCTATGGGAAATATTTGTCAGCAGTCTGACAAGAGAGACACCAATTTACTAGAAAAAAACAATAAAACAGCAATTGGCTTGTTGAATAAAATAATTTAAATTACCCGTCAGGGAAAAGGGATACGACTGGAAAGCAATGGCCAAATACTATTTTTTTTTTAATCGTAATTCATTGTCTCTTTTCTTAACAGCAGCGTTAAACTGATTCGGCTTCCCCCCCCCCTTTTTTTTTAATTATCCATTTTATGCTGGTTTACCTCTGGTGACAAGCATTAGCCTGGACACCTCAATTCCATCTTATTAAAATCATAATAGCTAGCTTTTAGTGGGTTCTTAGTCTGACCCCGGGATAGGTCAACAGCTTCGCAAGCATTATTTCATCTGAATATCAAACAGATTTGCAACATGTAGAAACTGAGGTTGAGAGAGAGGCGGTATTTTGTCCCAGGTCACATGCCAATACCCAGTGTAGCAGGGGTGTGACCCTAGGTCAAGCTGA